CCCCCATCCCCACCTCACCTCCCAAACCCCGCACAATCCCCAAAGCGGGTACCAGGAATAGCAAGACTCAACTCCATCCCTACCCACATTCCCACCTCAACTCCGGAGACACCGTCCAGGCAATGGTGACCTCAGTTCCTCCGTCTCCTGTAGATCTCTGTCCACTCAACTCCTGTGGCCCCTCCTGGCCCACTACCCTCCCCAGCTTCTGCATCTCTCCGCTCCACTTTCCGACCCGTTATCCTCTCTACAACTCTTTTAAAAAATACATTTTTAAAAATTGATTTCAGAGAGGAAAGGAGAGGGAGAGATAGAAACATCAGTGATGAGAACCATCCATCGCTGCCTCCTGCACGCCCCCTACTGGGGACCAAGCCCACAACCCGGGCATATGCCCAGACCAGGAATAAACGGTGACCTCCTGCTTCTTAGGTGGACGCTCAGCAGCCACGGGACCACGCTGGTGAGGCCCCTCTATAACTCTTCTGGCCCCTTTTTGCTTTCCTTCTTACCCCTTCTCCCCTACCCGGCATCCGTACCCTTTCCCGGTTCCCCCAAATATCCGGCTTTTCTCGGCCTCCGTGCTCCTCCTTCAAGGCCGCTCTATTACCACCGCGGACCCCAAGGGCTCATCCCAGCCCCCGAGCCCGGCCGGACCAGGTACCACCCTCCCGGTGCCTCCGCCGCCGCTTCGTTTTAAATTTCCTCCCGGCCCCGCCCCTAGAACGATGTAATAGCGCTGAGACTGCCCTACGGTGGCCCTGGGAGGACAACATTCTTCCCAGCTCCCTTCGTTTTTTCTTCCGCTTTCTCTCTGGTCTGTTCATTGGCTGGAGATATTCTGAGCCTTCACAGCCAGCAAGCTGGGCCCCAGCTTGATTCTTCACACAAGCTACTGTGAAACCCCTAGGAGTTCGATGATAAATAATAAGAGAAGCCTAACACGTACCGAGCATGTACAGCTTGAAGATTTCTCATACACATGTCATCTTCACATCTTTGACCCCCTCCCTTTTCTCTACTTACCCATCCAACCAAAAGTTTCTCAGAAGAGGTGTCTCCATTTCTCACCTCCCATCTTTTCCCTAACTCATCGAATTAGACTTTGATCCTCACCTCTCCTATAAAACTATACTTATGCAGGTCAACTGGGACTTCCATGGTCCCAAATTCTACGGTTGTTTTGGTATTCTCATCCTATCCGACTTTTAGAACACTAAAACAGACTCCTCCTCCTTCTGGAACATTTTCTTCTTTTTGCTTCCATTTCTACCTTTTCCACCTTACTTCAGTGGCTCCTCCTCAATTTCCATTGCTGGATCCAAAGGTACTGTTTCGCCTATAAATGTTGGAGTAGCCAAAGCTTTACCCTTAGCCCTTAGCCCTGGGCCCTCTTCTCTTCCCTGTTAACACTGTCTAGATGACCTCATGCGACTCCATGGCTTTACAATTCAGCCCTATGCTAGTGCCTGCAGAATTTCTATCCCAAGTTCTGACCTCCCCCCTGATCTCTAGACTTATATATTCAAGTGCCTATTGGACATTTCCCGGTGGATATCTAATAGGCATCTCATTCTTAACATGTTCAAAACAGAACATTCTCCCCACTGCCCCCGCTCCCAGTCTTCCCCATCTCTGTAAATGTTTCTTAGTTGCTCAAACCCAAACCTAGAAGTTATCTTTCAGTACTTTCCCTTATCCCCATCCCCACTCTAAAAACAAGTTCTACCAACTCCAAAGTACATCTTTAGACCACTGCTACTACCCTAGTCCAGGCCACTATAATTTCTTGTCCGAAGTACTGGGTCAATTTCTAACATTACTTTATTCTTGAGTAGCTTCCTATCTCTCCCCAATATAATCCATTCTTCATGCACAATCAGAATGTTCTTCTAACATTTAAAAATATATTTTTTTATTAATTTCAGAGAGGAGGGGAGAGGGAGAGAGAGATAGAACCATCAATAATGACAGAGAATCATTGATTAGCTGTCTCCGGCATGACCCCTGTATATGGATCTGTTTCTCTTCTCTTCCAGTCTTTTTGCCTAAAGAATTCTTATTCTTCAAAAAGTATAAGTCCCATCTCCACTAGCAAGCCTTTCTGGATCCCCCACTTTCACAGCTTTCAACCCCACTCCAACAGGCAAATTTAACCTAATCTCCTAGACATCATACTGCAACCTTCATTAGAAAAAGCTCCATTAACACATTTATCTCCCTATATTGTCATTATTAGTTTAAACATGTCTATTTCCATTGGATTAGAGATCCTTTGAGAGCAGAGATTTTGTGACATTCATTTTTATATTTTCAGTGCCTAAGAGCAATGACATGCTGCGGGTAATCAATAAATATTGAGTGAATAAAGGAGTCAGGTCAGTGACCTGCCAGTAGTTCAGGGAAAGCCAACTCAGGTTCTTGGGTAATTCATTTCAGCCCAGAGCCAGGTGTTTCGCAGAGTCAGCAGGGCTCTGGCTGCTGTTCTCGAGCTCTGGTCTCTGGTGAGGTTCCCTGTGGTTGTGACTGTGTCCCAGTTTCCTTATCTTCAATTAGTGGACGATGAAAGCATCTCCTCAGGGTTGCTGGAAGGATTACAAGAGACAATGCATCAGAAGCTCTCAGCACAGTGTCTGGCAAAGGATAAAGTGTTGAATGACTGAAAGAAATGACTTGAGGTTGCCCGTTCATTTATCAGCACTCCCTATAGGTCGGGCTCTGCGTTAAATACAGCATGTTAAGTGCAGAGAAGCAATCGCCACACACAGGCGTGGTCTTAACACAGGCGGCACGGAATCAGGAAGGTTTCCTGAAACCTGAGTCTTGTTAGGGGAGCAGCTCGAAAGCTGCGTGGGAGTGGGAGGTGGGCCGAAGCGCTGGAATCGGAGTTCCAGTCCTGCTATTAGCTGCTTGACTTTGGCCAAGTGACTGAATCTCCTTGAACTTCCCCAACTGTAAAAAGGTCTGCTAAGAACACCCGCCTGCCAGGGTTCCAGAGAGGCCACCTGACACTGTTGGCCAAGGTGCGCTCTATTGAGAAGTCACCAAACGCCAATCGAGTCACTATGGACTACGGCGTTCTACGCTCCACGAGCAGGAGCGAGTTTCCTTTGTGAGCATGCGCAGTGCTCCCGCGGCGCGGCGCTGCCCGTCAGGCACTGCGGTAGGCGCCCTAGGGGTTGGCAGGACCCTGACCCCAAGATGGCGGCGCCCAGTGAAGTGGACGCACCTGCCTCCGGCGAAGGCAGTGGGGAGGGCAGCTGTTTCGGATCCTGGCTGGATGGACGGTTGGAGGCGCTGGGAGTGGACCGAGCTGTTTACGGCGCCTACATCCTGGGTGTCCTGCAGGAGGAGGAGGAGGAAGAGAAGCTGGACGCTCTGCAGGGCATTCTCTCTGCTTTCTTGGTGAGGAGCCCCACTCATTGCTGGCCAGCCCCCGTCAGGACTTTGCGTCCCCGTCCCCCTACCCAGAGTCCCCGAGGATTGGTGGGTCTTACCTGGGAGAGGACTGCTCTTCTGGAGTTCCGGGCCATGGGAAGGGGGTGACCCCCTCTCCAGGGTTTGGGGAACCAGGAAGGTTATAGGACCTTAGAGAGAGGAATGGCTTTCCCTTATTCCGGGGGACAAGGCTCTGTCGGATGCCTGTGGGTGAGTATTCGGAAGGCGTTGAAATGTCTAAATCGGAGTTTTACCATAAACACCTAACGACCAGTTTCATTCCCACCCGTTGGCAGCGTGCAAAGCGGGGAGGAAAGTGCTCTGGAGTGTGTCTGTCCTTTAAGAGGCAAGTGCCCAGCACTGGCCCCTGACAAAGGCCTCTCTCGGTTCCTATTTTGGGGGTAGAGGTCTTTTCATGCCCAGGCAGAACTGAAGCTAATATTGTGCTTTATCCTTTATAGTATTTACAAATGCAATAGTCGTTGTGTTTGGGGGTGGGGTGAGGGTGGGGGGAGTGAGTTGGAATAAAAGATCAGAGTTTTAAAAAAGAAAGATAAACTTGGCACTTACTAGTAGCCTCTTAGAGACAGATTCAAGAATTCAGAAATGTGTGCTTTAAGCTGTGTTTCAGTAGTCAGTTACCAAATTGTCTGCTTTTCCTGATCATTTCTGCTGCTGTCATCTCTACTAACACTTAACTTGGTGAAAGGGTAGTTTATGGATCAGGTACGTGGTTGAAATATAACACTAATGCAGCTGTCCCGGGACCTTCTGGCCAGGGCCCCAGCGCATGGTCTGGTGAGACTGGCTTACTTATTTTTGGGAAAGTCTTAACACAGCTTGTGATGCAGCTCATAAGGTCAGTGGAAATACAACACAGCAGAATAAATTCTTTTCTTGGACCCTGACGTTATAGGTTGTAGAGGGAAAGAGTAGGAGGTAAGCAATTTAAGTTACTTTTTATTTCCAGCTGGGAAGTTTCTAAAGACTCCCTGAAAAAGAAGTTGAAGTAACTTGGGTACCCATTGGTACCAACTTCTTGACCTGGTTTGTTTTTTTTTGTTTTTTTTTTGGTGTCATTGTTTGGAGCTGTATGTCTGCTGGTAAAGACAGGCATGAATTTGCCTTAGACTCTTAACAGTCTCTTGGCAGGAAAGTGATAAACCTTGGAGAATGTACTGAGTTGGATATATTGGCCAAAGAAGATTTCACAGAGGAGAAAGGTTTTGATGTAGGCAACAGGTTTTTGCTCCAAAAGCATGAGGAGGACTGCCCTGAGTTGGTGGGGATCCTTTCCTCTGGATCTTGGCAGGATAAAGGGGGCGCCCTTGACCTGGCAGGTGTGGATTCTGGGACTCACACACAGGATTACTTCTGTATCCAGTGCCTTGAAAGAGAAACATACTTTCTGTTCTGTGGTTCCCAAACCCTCTTCGTGGTTTCTTCTCATCACCAGCTATGCCCTCTGCATAGGCTTTGTTCAGGTTGAGGGCTCTCCAGGAAATTAATTAATCGGTCTACTTTTCCACCCAGGAAGAAGATTCCCTTCTTACCATATGCAAGGAGATTGTGGAACGATGGTCAGAAACTCAGAATGTTGTCACCAAAGTGAAAAAAGAAGGTAGTTCTGATGTCTAGCCTCTATTGTGTTTTCCAATAACCTTTGCTGTCAGGGAGAGAGTTTTCAGTTTTCTCCATTGAATGCTCATTTTCCCTAAGGTAGTTTAACTTGGCAAACAGCTTTAAGTTTTTAACTGAAATTGGTTTTCTTTTCCCTTTGCTACTTTTTCACTTCAGCTGACCACAATTATCTTCATTGTGATTTATTCTTTTTTCTTTTTAACCCTCTTTCCACTGCCCCTTGTAGATTTGCATTGCAGACATAGGATCACCTTTTTTATATTCTCATTTCATAACACAAATTGTGATTGGTCTTTTGCTTTATTCAGCTAAACCCTTAACCCTGTAAAATGAAAAAGAAGTGAGTGAATTTACTCAGCATTAGGATGCAGAAAACTCAAATAATTAAAGCCAATCTTAAAAAGAATCTATTCTAAACTATCTACACTAGTAGTTCTCAGTCTTGGCTGTATTTTAGCATGACTTTATTTACTTTTAAAAATGCTAGTGCCACCCTAGCCGGTTTGGCTTACTGGATAGAGCATTGGCCTGGGGACTGAAGGGTCCCAGGTTCAATTCCGGTCAAGGGCATGTACCTTGGTTGCAGACACATTGCCAGTAGCGGGTGTGCAGGAGGCAGCTGATCGATGTTTCTCTCTCATCGATGTTTCTAACTCTCTATCCCTCTCCCTTCCTCTCTGTAAAAAATCAATAAAATATATATATTTTTAAAAATGCTAGTGCCTGCTCCACACCATGAACCAGTTACATAAACGTCTTTGGCTTTGAGTCCCAGGTGTTGGTATTTTTTAAAAGCTTCCCCAGATGATTCTTTTTTTTTTTTAATTGTCTGAAGTTTTACATATGTCTCCTTTTTCCCCGATTGACCCCCTCCGCAGCCATTCCCACCCCCAAGGGCAAGCCCCCACCACCCAGGGTCTGTGTCCATTGGTTATGCTAATATGCATGCGTACAAGTCCTTTGGTTGATCTCTAAGCCCCCCACCTCCCCTGCCATTTGTCTCTGGATCTATTTTTAATATATTTTATTGTTTTTTACAGAGAGGAAGGGAGAGGGATAGAGAGTTAGAAACATCGATGAGAGAGAAGCATCAATCAGCTGCCTCCTGCACACCCCCTACTAGGGATGTGCCTGCAACCAAGGTACATGCCCTTGACCAGAATCGAACCTGGGACCCTTCAGTCCCCAGGCCGATGCTCTATCCAGTGAGCCAAACCGGCTAGGGCTGGATCTATTTTTGTTCATCAGTTTATGTTGATCATTATATCCCACATATGAGTGAGATCATGTGATATTTATCTTTCTCTGACTGGCTTATTTCGCTTAGCATAATGCTCTCCAGTTCCACCCAGATGATTCTAATATGCAACCAAGCATGAGAACCACTACTTGGCACTATTGCCTCCTTCTTTGAGAATGGAGAACATAATAGTTGATTTTCTTTTAAAATAATCCAAGAACTTCACCTGGTATGATTATCGTCATGAAAGGGACCAGCGTAAGTTGATTCTAGATTCCTTGAGAGGGGAGAAAGATGCATGTTTAGAGGCTTAATTTCCTATGGTTTTAATGTAGTGCTTTTCAACCTCTTTTTTTTTAAAGCAGCGGAACTTCAATATAGAAAACAAGTAAAAGCAGGGCTGCTCTGATTGAAGACAGATACGAGACCTAAAGCCTGGCCGGCATGGCCTTCCCTTGCCTTTCTCATCGGCACCTCCTTTGAACCCCAGGGCTCTCAGGAGTCAGCAGATGCCATGGCCTTTACTCCAAGCACTACCTGGGTGGACTAGTGGTTCGGTGAGCTTGTTTTTTCTCACATACAACCTTGTTGTCCCTCTCTCCCCTTCCGCCACCTCCCAGACGAGGTACAGGCCATTGCTACCCTGATTGAGAAACAGGCACAGATTGTGGTGAAGCCCAGGATGGTGTCAGAAGAGGAGAAGCGGAGAAAAGCTGCCCTCCTGGCCCAGTATGCTGATGTGACAGATGAAGAAGAATATCCTTTGTGGAGTCTCAGCACCATTTCCTGTGGCTCAAGTCAGAAGCGTTTGCTGGTTTGTTATGAGCTTTGGGAGGCTGCCAATCCCCCTCTGTAGCTTAATTTTCTCTGAAATGGCAGTGATCTGTGGCCTTTTGTGGGTGTGAGGAATGAAGTTGGAGTAGCTGACACCAGACTTACATTTTTTATCACATAGTTAAGTATGTTTCTGAAAACCTCAGTGTAAAACAAATAATGCCTTAGTAATAGACCATTTATATTAGAAAATAAGATATAGCTGTGGTTCTTTACTTTCCATTGCAGTACCATGTAACTTACTGCACAGAAAGTTACATGTTCCTTTATAGTCTTTATTTCTTTCACAGTTGATAAGGAAACTGATGCCCAACAAATGGATGGGTGATCAGAGACATTCATGTAGTTAGCGGTAAAACCAGGACTGGAACCTGGATATTTTGGGGTAAGGGATTCCCAAATTTGGACCAGTTTCATTTGAATTCCAGTGACCACATAGTTAAAAGTGAGACTGAGCCCCGAGTAACACCAGGAGAAACCTGGAATTTGAGTGGATACTGCGTGAAAAGAAAGTGTTGCTGGTAGGAGCAGGTTTTGTTCCCTGTGACTTTGACATTTGTTTAGGAAAAGCTTCAGCTTACTGAGCCCTTTTGAATGGAGTGGATATCATACCAGAAATGTCAGCCGCCTAATCATGAGTTTAGGAAAAAATTCTTAGGCTCTTTTGGGTCAACTTCTCTTCTAGTTTCTCCTCATGATTTTTTTTGCTAGGTTTGGCAGAGCTATGGTTCCAGTTACAAAATCTCATTTCTTGGGCTGTAAGAGTGTTTTAAGCAATGGTTTTCTGGGGGACCTGTTAAAACGCAGATTACTGGGCTCTACTTACCAGATTTTCTGACTTAGTTAGTAGATCCAGAATCAGGTCCAAGAATGTGCATTTCTACCAAGTTTCCAGGGAGTTCTGGGAACCACACTTTGAGAACCACTGTTTTAGAGGCCATCTCTTCATCCCCTGGCTTCCAGGTGCTGTGGCAGTCCACCCACCAGCTTAAGTTTCTCTTCAGCCTACAAGAGATAAGGATCTTATGGAAGCTCTGAACAATCTTCCCTAAGTTGAGACTTCTAAAGATGACGCTCCTGGGTTACTACCACATCCCTGACAGTGTCCTTCCATTCATTGTGCCTTTCCTACCCATCAGTTTATTGAACGTTTTCTTATGTTGGGTTGGGATGTGCTAACCTTTGTTTTCCATCTGATTTTCCTTAACATCACTTACCGAAGCAGATGAGAAGGATGATTCAGGTGCCACCACAATGAACATTGGTTCTGACAAATGTATCCTTCTCTGTGTCCATCCCCATGTGCTTCTCCACAGAATCCTCTTGAGGGTCAGTTTTTATTTTGCTGTCATTGTTGGGGCTCTCATGTCAGGCCAGCATTGTGAGCCCCATTTCTAGTACAGCCCTACGTGGTCAATTTAGCAAGAACTTGCCCCAAAGAAGATATGTTCACATGTACTGTGAGGGATTAGCTTAGAGGAAAGATTTCTAAGGGAAAATCAGAATCTGTACTCTCTGGATACAGCCCTGGTTTCCCAGCACTGTGGAAGCAGTTAAAATAATACTGAAGTTTTGGTCTTTGTCCTCAAAGACCTTATTTGTTGGAAAGAGAGCACAAACACCAAATGCTTTTAAGCTAAAAACACAGAGGTGAGGTGGGCAAAAGTAGGTTTACAGTTGTGAGTACTCAAAACACAGAGTTTATTCTTTTTTTAATCCTCACCCGTGGGTATGTTTTTATTGATTTTAGAGAGAGAGAGGAAGGGAGGGAAAGAAACATTGAGTGAGAGAGAAACATTGACCAGCCTCCTGTATGTGCCCCAACCTGGAATTGAACCCATAACCTGTGTATGTATTTGCCATGACCAGGAATTGAACCCAAGACCTTTTGGTTTGTGGGACAACGCTTAAACCAACTGAGCCACACCGGCCAGGGCCAGAGTTTATTTATTTTAAAATGCATTTTTATTAATTTTTAGAGAGAGAGGAAGGGAGAGTGAGACAGAAATGTTGATGAGAGAGAGATATTGTTCGGCTGCCTTCTGCACACCCCCTGCTGGGGATGGAGCCGAAAACCCGGGCATGTGCTCTGACCAGGAATTGAACCAGTGACCTCTTGGGGGCATGGGTCCAGGCTCAACCACTGAGCCACATTGGCTGGGCCAGAGTTTATTCTTTATTATTTATTAGTATTACAATTGTTAACCTACTTTCCCCAACCCGATATGGACAGATTGAGACATATGTGCTAAGGAAAGCCCCTAAGAGCAGAATCACTTATGAGAAGCTTCCCAGAGAACGTGGATTTAGAAATCCCCCTTCATAAAGGTGAGAAATATGGTGGATTATCTGGGGGACCTGGGTATTTAGGGAGACATTTACTTTAAAGCACTGAAGCAGAAAAGGTTTTGTTTTTTCGGTTAATCCTCACCCGTGGATATTTTCTCCATTGATTTTAGAGAGAGTGGAAAGGAGTAGGGGGTAGACAGAGAGAGGGAGAGAGAGAAAAAATTGATGTGAGAGAGACACATCAGTTGGTTGCCTCCTGCATGTGCCCCCACCAGGGCTGGGGATCGAACCTGCAACCTAGGTACGTGCCCTTGACTGGGAATTGAACCCAAGACCCTTCAGTGCATGGGCCAACACTCTAAACATGGATCCACACTGGTTAGGGCAGAAAAAGTTATGTTTTAAGAGTAGAGAAGAGCTTGTCTGGTAGTAACAGGTTATGTTTTTAAAGTCATAAGAAATGAAGGGTAAAGTTTTTGGCTGGGTATTTTCTAACTGTGGCTAAACTTACTATTTTATAAATTCAGAGTTTGTGGTTAATAGAACATGGTTTCATTAATGCTTTAGTGATCTAGGAAAACAAATTGATATAATAAGATTAAACAACTTATTTTACTCTTCAAGCATTTTAACAGTGCCAAGTACATAATAATTTTGCCATTTATATTAATACTCGGTTCACTAAAACTAGCATAGATACTACAACAATATTCTGCCATTGAATGATATAGGTACTTACTCTAGAATGAAATTTTATTTTCATAAAATATTTAGATAAGTCTGAAATAGATTTTTAAAAAATATATATTTCTTTATTAATTTCAGAAAGGAAGGGAGAGGGAGAGAGAGATAGAAACATCAATGGTAAGAGAGAATCATTGATTGGCTGCCTCCTGCACGCCCCACACTGGAGAACGAGCCCACAACCCGGGCATGTGCCCTTGGCCAGAATCGAGCCCAGGACCCTTCAGTCGAAGCACAGGCCGACGCTCTATCCACTGAGCCAAACCGGCTAGGGCTGAAATAGATTTTTATTCTGAGGGTTAGTTTTTAACTTTTGTAACGATAGTTGTAGGATTTCCCATTAGACCAAAGATAAACAAGGATTAAAAAACAACAACAACTAGGAATAGGTAGAAAGTATTCAAGACTCAGCATATAGAGTAAACAGCAAGAATGAAGAGAGAGAGAGCAGTAGCTGGGCCTGTGTGACCTCTGCCCTAATCCCTTAACTCATTGTAGTTCTGTTCCGAAATACCAATGCGGAAGATGTCCTCAATGCCCGAAAACTGGAGCGAGACTCGCTTCGAGATGAGTCCCAAAGGAAGAAGGAACAGGACAAGCTGCAGAGGGAAAAGGACAAATTAGCCAAGCAGGAGCGCAAGGAAAAGGAAAAGAAAAGGACACAAAAAGGGGAACGAAAGCGATAACCTTGGTCAACTCTCTTCTTTCTCCTCGTGAACTGATCAAAGGGAGAACTGGTTGTGCACATGAGTAATTTAAGAGAAATGAGAGAACATTGCGGAGTGGTTTCTCAAGGCATTTCCCCTTTTGTTTACATGGTCAAAAGGAAAATCACAAACACTTCTAATTACAAAATGTTCCATGTTTCTGTGCTGGGTATTCAGATTGTTGTAGTTATCAGTACCAAAGATCTGGAGTGGGGGCAACCTTTCTATTTTAGTACCGAAGTGCTGTGCTCCTTTTGGCCACTTTCAAAAGTCTTCCCTCACCTTGGATAAACTAGCAGGAATATTCAGAAAGTTGACAGTTACAGTTTTTATCCTGAAGGAGCAGAATCATGACCACTCCTTCCCTGAGATGAAATGTGGGAGTGTAAATTGCTTCAGAAGTACTATTCACTCCTAAATGTATTATTTTTAAGACTCAAATAGAAAGCTAATGAAGAGTCAGACTTTATGTTGCATGGCAACAAACTAGGAAAATGAGAAGAAATTATTTGATGGATGTTCTAGATTTGAGAATTTTTTTTTTAAAAAAAGTACCCTATGGGAGGAAAGGAAGTATCTTTTTAAAGTAATAATAGTTATAATTTTCCTCTAGGATGTGATTTTAAGAAGGGTGTGTCAGTATTGTGTGCAAGGATATCATTGTTAGCTAGATTCCTCTTGATTGCTAGTAGAGATTTTAGTCCTGATTTGCCCTAAAACACGAGTATAAAGACCTGATAATTACAGGTGTAGAGGAACTGCCTTTTCAGGAAGAAACACTGGAAATCTCTGTTAACACAAAGATATTTAAGAGTGTACATAGTAGGTGCTCAACAAATTACTTGAGTGAGTGAGTGAGTGGGAAAATTGCTTGGGAGAGTCAAAAGTGAGCAGGAACTCTCCATTTTTACTTTTGTCACAAATTACATTCAATTTGAAATCAGGCCTTTCTCCTTCAGGCAAGACTGTCAAGAAGTCTGAAGAGAACAATTTCTCCAACAAAACAAAGTAGATATTTTATACCAGGGGTCAGCAAATTACTGCCTGCAAGACAAATTTGGCCTAGTCTGTTTTTGTATGGTGCAAGCTAACAATGGATTTTATGTTTTTAAAGGGGTGATAAAGAATATATGACAGAGACCTTATGTGGCTTGTAAAGCCTAAAATATTTGCTATCTGAACCTTTGGAGAAAAAGTTTGCTGACCTCTGTTTTATACCATTGAGATTAACAAAAGTTTTTACCTTTGTGCAGAAGGTAAAAAGCATGGTTAAGGAAAAGATGTGTTACCACTATACACTCCTATAACCGTGGCATTCGCAAAATTAAATAACCTTTTTAAAAAATAAACTTTATTTAAATCAATGTCTTCTGATTTATTCTGATTCTTTTCAGCTACCTATGGAGATGAATTCTGTGCTTAGGAATGTGTTGAATTTTACTTTATGCTTAGCCCTAATAACTTCTACAAGTAGAACTTCCTGAAATCCATAAATTCTCTGCCTCAGATTTCCTTTCTGTGAGGTTGGGTATTAGGAGATCAGAAAGATTACTTTGTGTTTTGGAAAGTCAGTAAATTGGCTTTGAAGTACTGTTGGAATTATAGAGCTTTATGTGGCAACAGCAATAGCCTGTGTTTACAGATAGCGTGTATTTTAATTTAGTAAATCCTTATTTTTGGTTGATTCTCACCTTGATTGGGTCTCTGGATCAGAGTTGGGTTATATCCATGGACCCCTGAAGGGTACTTGTTTCAATCTGCTATAGCAGCAGTTAATTCTTTCTTCTGGGATGCTATTATGTATGCATCAGTTTGGTGTTTATGATCAGTGGTGTTTGGCTGCATGGCCAGTCTTTTTGTTGTTTGCTAGCTCATATCTGCTCTTTTAAAGTGGTATGGCACAAGCCCATTTAGACCATGGCATGTTGTTCTTTGGGTTCTTTGTGTGGAGTTAAGCAGAAGCTTCCATGGTTTTTGATTAGAGCCCCAGGGCTGGCAATTTTTGGAACCCGTTAATGTCTTTTGGCTCAATGTATGTTAAGTGTACACTTGAACTAATGTTTAAACAGAAAAAAAAAGATCAGCTCATTAGGCTTATTATTATTATTTTTTTAGTTCATTAGGCTTTAAGTTTATTCATTTAACTCAAGTGCTAACAAATCCTTTACATCTAAAATGTTCAATATTGCAAAAGACAAATTTTAAACAATATCACATGGTATGATTGATACTTTAAAGCCACATTTGGGATTTCAGTAATAATTAATTCCCATTCAAATGGGAAAAACACTGATATAATTCAAGGTAGTTTTCACTCACTTTTATAAAAAGTACTTTTCCTATTTTTAAAAAATCTTTATTGTTGAAAATATTCATAGGTCCCCCCTTTTCCCTCATTGACCTCTTCTAGCTTGTCCCTATCCCCTACCCCAGGCCTTTACCACCCTATTGTCTGTGTCCATGGGTTATGCATATATGCATACAAGTTCTTTGGTTGATCTCTTCCCACCCACCTACCCTTCCTCACCTTCCCTCAGGTTCGACAATCTGTTCCTTGCTTCTATGTCGCTTTTTCTAATTTTTAAAAAATTTTGAGTATATGCCAAATTCTTTTGGATTAGAAATGATGGGAGCATCAATTTTATGTTTCACTACAAGTCTTGTGTGATACTAAGTTTATAAAGTTTTCATAGGTTGTAATTCAGAAGTACAATACATAAGAGCCATCCATTAGCAGGTATACCATAGAAAGGGACAACCAACTAATTTGAGAATTACCTACAGGGTGACATGATTAATGAAATTTCCAAGAACTTTTATGTTTGGTTTTTGTTAATGGACTAATGTTTCATTTTGACCACTATCATGTCAAAGCTTCCCTAGAATTTTTACCCTAGTTTGCCTGGATCAGCATAAAGTGGGAGCAGAAGTTTCATCTTGAAGGAGGTAAGGTTAGATTAAAAGATAATATGAATGATACTGGTTTGTCTACCAACATTTTTAAAAAATATATTTTATTGACTTTTTACAGAGGAAGGGAGAAGGATGGAGAGTTAGAAGCATCAATGAGAGAGAAACATCGATCAGCTGCCTCCTGCACACCCCCTACTGGGGATGTGCCTGCAACCAAGGTACATGCCCTTGACTGGAATCGAACCTGGGACCCTTGAGTCCGCAGGCCGATGCTCTTATCCACTGAGCCAAACTGGTTAGGGAGTCTACCAACATTTTTACTTATGTGTTAATTGTAATGAAATTGAAAACTTAAAACCAGTTTTTATCAGTTAAATGAAATTTGGTGTTTTTAAAAAATATATATTTTTATTGATTTCAGAGAGGAAGGGAGAGGAAAAGAGAGAGAGAAACATCAATGATGAGAATCATTGATTGGTTGCCTCCTGGACACCCCCTACTGGGGATTGAGCACGCAACCCAGACGTGCCCTTGACTGAAATCGAACCCGGGACCCTTCAGTCTGCAGGTGGATGCTCTATCCACTGAGCCAAACCAGCCAGGGCTGAAATTTGGTATTCTGACATGAGTGACTTTTCGTTATAAACTAATACAAATGTAAAAAATGAAACCAAATATTTTCAACAAAATAATTTATTTTCTTTTCCTGAGAGACTAAATTAGTACAATATTTGTTATAACATCCAACATGTCTTATGTCAAACTTAACCACTTTCTATGCAGTGACTGTGGTGGGGTGATCTATTTTATTTGACTACCTTCAATGTAATTAATTTGGTAGTTCTAAGGCATATCAGTGATCAAAATGTTTCTCCCCACAGTTACTCCTGAAATCTCTCAATCAGTTTCTTCCGCACATCATCTAAAGAAAATTTATGTGGTGTGATTACACTCTTTTTATACCAGGATTTCTAAAACTAGGAAAAACACCAACATTTAAAACATCAGTGTTTCTAGTCAAGGATAGTTCAATTAAATTTCATCAGTACATTATATCATAGTTTAACTCATGCTAGAAATGTTAAAACCCAAGATCTGAGTCACATAATATCAACATTTCATATTAATGAATAAATTACTTGGGTTCCATACAAAGATATTAAGTGATGAGAAACAGAAAAAGCCAAGCTTTCAAGAGCTCTTAAAAAATACAGAAGCAAACTAATGAACACAACTACACAAAATAGACACTAACCAATTGCAAACTAAACTAGTTAAAGGCTAACCTTAAAAAATACATTTTAAAACTTCGTGATACCCTCATAAAAGGCAGCAACTAAGGGTATTAAAACAATAGTCATTATTTTAGTTACTGTGCATCAAATCTAAAAGATCCAGATAAAGGAACTGTTTTGTTTCGATTCAATGTAAATACTTTAAAATTGGAAATATTTAATAATCGATAGTATAATTAAATTTTAAGAATATACACAAATGATTTGAACAGATTTTATATTCAGTAACTTGCATGGTTTTTACACTGGCACTTTTATCACTAATTTAGGAGAATCAGATGCATTTCCCTCCATATACTTAGGCACTAAGATTTCAAATTATAAATATGGTAGTAGTTTAAATATTAAAAATTTACATGAATATTGGGTTCATTCTTGTTTTCCTTTGTTTCCTAGGTATTATCCAGTTTTGTAAGGAAAACACTTTTAAATCACAATCAAAACTTGTCTTGGTTACTAGACTGTAGCCATAATTGGGTTACAGTCATTTAGATTCATTATTTGGAATTATACTTACTAAGGCAGACCTAAATGAAACTTATCTTCTAGAAGAATTTCACATTTGCATTTACCTGCACTGCAGAATAGGTTTAAGCAATACTTTAGCTGTTAGGAAATATTTAATTTGCTTAAACTTATCTTCGACTACTCAGAACTCTGAGTAGTCCAACGTTCCCTTTGAGTTCACTTTAAACTATATCTGATTCATTCCAAATAGATTTTTAAATTGAAGCTAGACTTCATTAAGATATTAAACTCTAAATCTGAAAAAATGCATTGAAATTTTCAAGTTTGACAAGTTCATTACAATTGTTTAGCATGTCTTGATACATTTACTTATTAGCTTTTTATTCTTTCTGCTGGCATTTCCTTAATGTTTGTTTGCATCACCTCTCTGATTCATTGGATTGCTACTATTTATGCTTTCATGGACTTTATCTTCACAGTTTACTATATCTTGTAAAGCCTTTTCCACATCTGTTTGGCCAGTTGTATTGGCTGTTTTAGGCAAGGTCATCTGCAGTGCACACCACAGAGTAGTGCGTGCCTTCCGAGTAGCCACACACATCTCTTTAATTGCTGCAGCAAGGGCAAAAACATCTGTAAAAGAAACATTTAGAGTCAGTTCACATTAGCTACCATTTAAGTTTCCCTTACCTCTTAAAGCCCAGCGCTGAGCTACTAAATGATCAAACATCATCTATATATATATATAAAAGGCTAATATGCAAAGGGTCCCCTAGGGAGTTCAACCATGAGTTCGATCGCTTGCTATGACTTGCACTGACCACCAGGGGTGGTGGTGCAGAATGAAGGATGGCCCCAGCCAGCAGCTGGAAGGCCCCGATTGGCCTTGATCATCGGCTAGGCCTAGGGGCCCTACCCATGCATGAATTTCATGCACTGGGCCTCTAGTAATTTTTATAAAAGAAGGGTGGGTAGGTATTGACTAAATTAATCAAAGTTCTTGACTTAATATGTACTTAAAAGTGTTGACACTTTATTCTGGCTTGTATGATGACTATGCTTTGGGTGTAACACAGACTTTGATGGAATTATAAGTGGATCAAGTTAACAAAACAGATCAAGGTACTTTTGGAGTAGATTATGTGGGCATCTTTACCAATTTATTCTTTAGATAAGTGTAAATTTTAGGATTCTGACCTTTTAACCTTAGAATCTGATTTTATTAACATTCAAACTATCTCATTGCCTTATCAAAATAATATGCATTAATATTTGTACCTCTGTCATCTTGGCATCTAGGAACTCCTTGCTTTTGACGATTTGAAGCATTAACAATTTCATCCTTTCTACGTGACTGTACAATGTGAATGGATTCCAAGTGTCTATCAAGAGCAGTAGAGATATTGGCATGAAGGGGAGAGCTTCGAAGACGTTCCATCTTGCCTAGTAAAGTTACAACCTGAGGGAAAGATTTTAAATTTTGATAAGGCATGTAACCACATTGCCTGTCATTAACTTAAGTAAAAACAAATCTTCAAAAAAGCAGAATAGACATGAGAGTAATAATATTTATTCAATAAATAATTGAATGCCTAGTCAGAACTGGTTTGGCTCCGTGGATAGAGCGTCGGCCTGCCGACTCAGGGGTCCCGGGTTCGATTCCGGTCAGGGGCGTGTACCTTGGTTTC